CTAATGTACTAACTAAAAAATTGTTAGTTGCAGCCCTAAAGGCTGGTTTATACTTCTGCGTCGAGTGTTCTGCATGACCCACCAAGCCTGCCTTGCGCGTAGTCGTGCATTTATATTTCTATGTGTTGTTCTGAAACACTAGCTGGCAGTAGGCTTTTATGTTTCTCTGTGTCGAGTTTCTATGCGGGTGTTTTGTTTTTACCAAAGTAGCTCAAACTCGCTCATTCACAAGCAACAACATTGATCATAAAGTAAACACAACAAAAGTCGCCATCTGGTTTTCCTTCACATGACTCGAAACTCGAAACAATTACTCCATTGGTTCGCGGCTCTCAGCACCGCCCACGGTCTTCATCAATACCAAGTCGACCATTCACAGAGCTTGCACTATGCGGTGTTGCGACGTGTAGTTAAATTTTTGAGATGTGCACATCGGTGTCGGCATCAGCCACGGCGAGGGCTATGCATCCATGTGCCAAATGCATGCGTTTGACGCAGAAGTATAAATCGGTCTTAAAACATATAAGCCCAGCCCTGTTAGTCAAGAATGTGCAGTTTAGATTTGTGTGATCCCTTATCCCTGTTCAGGTTCTTCAAGTTATACGATTTAACTTTATTAAAAGTTGTATTCATATCGTTTAAATGGAGGGGTTATCTAAAAAGCTGTGTGACGCAATGCAGGATATTTTGTTATTGCTCTCAAATGTCCAATAACCAAAAATTGCTCTTTTTTTTTTGTTTCTTTTTTTTTTTTTGATGATGACCTTGAAAGATGATCCAGTCTTAGCCTCTTGTTATGATGTAGTATCTTATAAAGAAAAGGAAGCACTTTTAGGAACAGTTTCCACAGAGTAACCCAGTGATTCCTTCATTTAAATATCTTTGTAGATGTTTGCAGCTGCAATGAGGTCAAAGACGATATGCTACACAGCAAAATCTGTATCTTAATGTTCTTTAGTCAAACCTATTTACAGTATATCCTCATGTGATATGAATGCTCTGCATGCTAGTAAACCCGTTAGGTGAAACAGCAACACTGTGTTTACATGTATGTTGGCTTTAACAAACACATTCTCACACAGTTGTTTATTCTTTTTCAGTTCAAGTGAACCACATGTTCTCTTCTCAGCACAACTCAGTTGCTATAGTGATTTTTCCACACTCAGATTTGAGATATAGCCTTTTCTTTTGCACAATGTTGATTTCACACTGAATAAGTTCTTTTTCTTTTTTTCTTTTTCTTGTGCTACACAATTGTCACTTGAGTCAAAGTCTTGCTTTATTGTCAATTCTGCCACATGTGCAGGCATAAAGAGAATTAAAAATAGACCCAGAGTGTGAAAATTGAATTGAAATAGTTCTAGAAGAACATTTTGTTAACTTTCTCAAGGAAGAATTATTCAATCCAAAAAGGAAACATTAGCATAATTTGGAATAATTATTAGGAATTTTACAGTCTTAGCTGAGTGTTTTACTTATGTAAATGGTGTTTTAATGTCCATGTGTAAATTATTCAGGAAGCTAGTTGAATAAATTAAAACCAATCCAATTGGATTGGCAGATGGATATTCCTTAAAGGGCAATCGTGATTAAATAAAACATAGTTTTTTTGTGTATTGGTTCTCAAAATAGATTTTTTAAAAATTAAATATTTATGATTTATAAATGATAAATTGTTGTAGACAATATGATATCGGCAGGGATTTTTACAATAGTTTGTTTGTTATTTTAATTTGGCTGGAATTAAAAAGAATGAAAAATAAATAAAAATTGCTGACGTGAATATGGTTAGGCCCAATCTTAGTTCTATATTTGTAAACGTACACCTTCCCCTTCACACTGTTTCAAGGACTTTAAAATTTGCACCTAAGAAATGGGACAGCACTACAACATCTGCACACGTCATCATATGTCATCGTGATCTCTTGCTTCATATGTTATCGACGATGGCGACTGCTGTGGTTATTCCAATTGCAACAGCTTTATTTGGTATTAATCTTCCGAAAATTACTGAGGGCATATATCATGAGGGCAAATATCATAAACTGAAGGGAAGGGCCAAGGGGTAGAGTTAGGATTGGGCCTTAGTCTCCTTAGGAAGTTATAATTTTTTGATTTAAAAAATTTGTATAGGCGACGTAGTGGCGCAGTAGGTAGCAGGGCTCGAAATTAACCATTTTGCTTGGTAGCACCGGTGCTCCTAACTTGAAAAATTTAGGTGCATCAGCCAAAATTTAGTCGCACCCACCAATTATAACCACTGTTACTACAAGTTTTATACAAACAGATTTATTGCATTTGAAATCAACAGTAATCAAACTAACAAGCAATATATATGCAAGCATAAGAAAAATATGTCTCAACGAAATCCCGTTATCACAAGAAAATAGATTTTTATAACATAACTGAGTGACCAAGGACCGCTCGCTGGCCCTGCATGCTCTGCTTGACATGAATGAATCTGTTAAAGATATAACTGTGCTGTTCTCACGGGTCGTGTCTAATATTGCACTGATGTTTTTGACATACTGTACCTTCTTATATGCATACGTCATGTTCATAGCAATACCGGTCTTTTTATGAGTAGCAATGTTAGTTTACTCGGTGCAAGCCCATTTGTGATGGTGTACGTGGTGTTATATTTGACATATAGCTGCCACTTGCACGCCACACAGCATCTGGCGATTATATGAAGGATTAAACAGAAGCTCTCGTGCTAGATGTGGCAAACCGTTACCTGAAAATTCCATCCCACAGACTTTTCATAGCGGACTTGAAGCCAACGGTAGTCTTTTATCCACTCTTCAAAAAGTGTAGATAGTGGATTAACATTCAGCAAATGGTCACTAGTACGATGTGTCATTATTTGTTACTTTAGATGCCATGGTTTCTAAAGCAAAATCTGTCAGTGTTATCTTCATTCTCATCTTCAGCGTTTTACAATTTTTCGCGGTAGTAGCTCGCTGTCATCCCAAGCCAGAAAGCATTGACTAAGTGATTAACGGCTGATATTTCAGGGCTAGAGCAGTGGTGGGCCAATAAGAAGAGCACGAAGCATTACGCACTTGGCTTTGTTTACTGCAGCAAGTTGACATAAGAACTGTTTTAAATCATTGCTGAGCACTGCATTTCGCGTTTCAAGTGCAGACAAAGAGCTTAAAGATGCATTCTGCGTGAATGTCTCCCAAATCCACGCATGTAGTGAACATTTTGCAGTAAAAACAGGTCGCAAACAATAATTTTATGCACTCGCACAAATGCTCCCAAAGATATTTTGATGTCGCATAGATAAAATTTTGGGTGTATTTGCGACCAAAATGGTCGCAATTTCGAGCCCTGGGTAGTGCTGTCGCCTCACAGCAAGAAGGATGTTGGGTCGCTGGTTCGAACCTCGGCTCAGATGGCGTTTCTGTGAGGAGTTTGCATGTTCTCCCTGCATTTGCGTGTGTTTCCTCCGGGTGCTCCGGTTTCCCCCACAGTCCAAAGACATGCGGTACAGCTGAATTGGATAGGCTAAATTGTCCATTGTGTATGAGTGTGTGTGTGTGTGTGTGTGTGCGGAGGTTTCCCAGAGATGGGTTGCGGGTGTAAGGGCATCCGCTGCGTAAAAACGTGCTGGATAAGTTGGCGGTTCATTCCGCTGTGGTGACCCCGGATTAATAAAGGGACTAAGCTGACAAAAAAATGAATGAATGAAATTTGCATATTAGCATAAATATCAATAATAGAAGCGATTCTGTCTATCTTCTAAATGTTTTAAAAGCATATTTCTCGTTCACACTATTACGTTATCACTAAACGAAAAGGATCTGCGTCCACACTGGCATTTCACCTAGCATTTCTGAACAGCTCTTCTTCCACACTATACCGCTGAAAATGCACGTCATTGACCACACACACACACTCTGACTACAGCGTATGTGGACGCCTGAGCTCTAGGCAGTCTGCTGGTGCTTTGAGCACACATCCCCAGGTGTGAGCAGCGTACGTCGGACTGTTCATCAAGGGTATACCGCTGGACCCTCATCTCACTACAGTTATTAAACGTAATATTTAATTCACCTTTGGTCTTTTGAATCAATGACTTGTTCTCAGGTATGTGTTTTGGCTAAGTGCAAAGATACGGTAACATATTAATTTATATAACAACGTGCACAGATTCTGCACATTTGAATGATTGTTTGCCTTTAATTACTATAATGTATTACCTTATTGTACGTTATACTTTTATAATAGCCATTATTGATTATTAAAACTGATATTCAGTAAAAGAGAGGGTATGTTTTTTTATTATTCAATGAAAATTAAAGGAGGCTGTTATAGGCTCCTTTTTGTTATAAATGCGTACCGTGAAGATGATGGTCTTATATGATGCCTTAACAATTTTGGTGTCTGTTAAGTTGCTATTATCCAAATGAAAATAAGCAAGTGAAACAACGTAGCCAGGGTGATGTGAATGACATTTTAAAGTACATTGTTTCTTTTGAAGAATTATCCAACGCTTTCTGTGGAGTTTGTTTTCCATATCAAACTTGCAAAGTCTTAACTTACAAGCAAAGGATGCAAGACTGAACTTTGTCTATTAGATATTAAGAAAAAGGCCCAATCAGATGTCTGCAGCCACACCTGTGTTTTCAGATGTCTCCATTTCCCCGATTCACACTGACACAGAGCAGCAGTGTTTTAAAAAAAAAAACCTCTTCAGCGTTTTCAAAACGCACCGTTTTTGTGGACGAAAGGCGTAACTGTAGCAAAACTTATGCATTTTAAAACTAAAATGTATTAGTGTAAACTTGGGCCTAAAAGTTTCTGTTGTGATACATCTTAGAGTTGGTTTGGTTCATATATATTTAATTAATCAGTTTTCATACAACTGAGGGGAAATTCTTTCATTGTCAATTCCATGTGTCTGCCAGCTGTCATTTCCATAAAAATGTCATTTCATTCGAGCACTAGTGTTGGAGAATATTATATCATAGCTATGATCCTCTCCTCCCCAGATCATTGGGATTGGACTGTGTGGAGTGTTTGAGCTCATCAAAGAGACCCGTTTCTCGCACCCGTCACTGTGCTTAAGGAGCCTTCAGGCCCTTCTAGATATGCTCCAGGGACAGCAGCCAGAGAGCTTTCAGACCGAACCACCAGATGTGCTGGGTAAGATCCTTTCCCTTGTTCAAATAAAAAAGGAACATGTAAGAGAGCATGTAAATTTACATTCTGACACCATTCTTGGCCTTGCAGAGTCTCTGTTCCACCTTCTGTTGGAGACAACGGTGCGGAGCACAGGGATGAATGACCCCACTGGTCAGACCCTGACAGCGTTATCCTGCGCCTGCCTCTTCAGCCTGGTGGTGGCTTGGGGAGACACCGGCAAAACCCTACAGGCTGTGTCTGCTATCCTCACCAACAATGGCAGTCATGCATGCCAGACCATCCAGGTGAGTCTAAGTCCTTTAAAGTTATAAGTCTGTGTGAAGTCAAATATTACAATGTTTATTTTGCTGACTTACATTGTTATACTTATTATTTGTGGAAGTTAATTAAAAGGTTTATTTTTCTTTGTAATCTTATATTAAAATCTAACCATTTGCTTCCACCTTTGGAGTGGCAGTTTTTCTGTTGATATCAACCTGATACGCTCCCTACCATTAGTTTGCTGAGAAGGAATTATGCACAAAAGCAAGCCCGCCTGCTACACAATATTCTTTTTTACTTGAAAGTACATTAACATGCATGAAAAGTCTCGGCAATACACGCAGACTTAAATGTCAAAGGTCATCAATTGGAAAGGAGAGTGTTCTGATCACCAAGGCTGCATTTATTTGCTCAGAATTGTTTCAGAAAATCTGAAAATATTGTTTTCTTGGTGAATGTAATTACTAGGGATGCCACACGGCACAATATAACATTGAACCATTTGGTATGACTTCTATGATTTTTCGGGTTTTACAATTATGTAAAAAATAGCTTTCCCTCATGTTTTATTACTCTCTGAACTGGCTCCGGTGTGTTTAAATATATGTTCATGCGCTAAGTATTGTCCATTTCTTGCTAACATTTGAGTGCTTCTAACAGATATGACTGTGACTGGCTGTAAAGGTCATCACTTTAACTCTTGTTTGAAAACCACACCTATCAGCTGATCTATCAGCGGATCTGTCATCGGGCTGGTTGATTTGGGCTAAAATCTAAATCTCAATTAATTAAACATTTTATCTCTATTACGATTAAGGAATGAATGAATGAATGAATGAATGAATGAATTATTTATTTATTTATTTATTTATTTATTTATTTATTTATTTATTTATTTATTTATGCCCAGTTTTGAACAGCTGAAATTAAAACACACGTTGCCTAAAACCAACAGTCATGTTTTTCTTATAAAAATTTTGAAAATAAATAACTTTTGTCTACAAAATTTTTTATTTTCAGTTTTTCATAATAAAAGTAGAAAATAAGCAGTATTAATTCAAAATAAAACATCTTGTATATCCTGTAAATAATATTTTAAAGCATTTCCTAAATCTTCTGTAAACAAATATTTTAACTTTAATAGTTTTATTTTAGTGAAAAATATGCCGTCTCTGCCGCAGCTTCCCATTATCGTCAATGTAGTGCAAATGTTCAATGTGTAGTCATGTTTTTTGAGAGGTGCATGCAAATGAGACCACACTAAGGCTGCACCGTACCATATCCTTGCATTCGACATAGAAGTATAAAGTAGCCTTAACAGAGCATGGTCATGTGAGTCCAGCCCTAATCTCTCATATAAGGCTGCATGTCCTCTAAAGTTGTGAGCGTTTTTGCAGAGCAGCGTTTTTTTCTGTTGGTTACTATGAAACGGAGTATCCTCACTATTCCGTTACAAGTTGAAAGTGTTTAGCAGATTATTTGTTGACAGTTGCGCTGAAAGATCTGCGTTTGTTTGTTTTAGCTGTTGCAAGATAAAAAAAAAGCAGCGACAATTAGGCCGCATTTACACTGCACTGTTTAAGTGACTCAATTCCGATTGTTTTCTCCCATGTGGCACAGAACGGATATGGCCCATGTACGTGTAAGCATAAACAAATTACAAGGATACCGATTTACTCCTTTCAGATTCAGACCTTGTTCATATGTGAAATTTATCCGATAGGAATCGGATCTGTGCCCTTGTGTCTGCAGTGTAAGTAGGTAGATCGGATTTGCACCTGTCAATGCGAGTCGCACGTCATTAAAAACAGTAGCGAATTATGTCAAGTCTGACAATTTAATTTCAGAACAGACTTCAGCAGAGTCCCTAACCTTAAATCTCATACAAGAGGACTTATACAGGACTTATACTTTTATATTGTCATATAGCACAAGTATTTTTAGCATGTTAACGAGAGCAAGAGAGTGCAATGTCCGCCACGTAACCAATATAGACTAACTAGTGCATAGATTACATGCATAAATCACGCCATAAACATCACATTAAGATGCCTAAAGTTTAAAAAAAAGCCTATTTATCAAAAGAAGATGGACAAATAAGAACCTTTCTGTCATAAACTATAGTAAAACAGCTTGTCAATAGCTGCAAACAGATTACATACAGGAATAGAGAAAAGAACATTCTTTCATTATCAGCTGTTAGTCAGCGCATGCTCTTTTTTTGTTTCTGGTCATTGCGCCTTTGCCGTGTGTTGTATAAATGCAAATGATCGGATACGATTCACTTTTAAAAGATGATGTAAGCAGGTCATCAAAAAAATCAGATACAGTCACAAAATCGGAATTGACAACCAAGATCTGCAGTGTAAATGCAGCCTTAGTGTTACTTTTGAGCCAGCAGTCCAATCACAGTGGAGGAGGGTCGGAACACCACTGTGTTAGGATTTCTGTTGCAGCAGATATCAAGACTCATCAGACCAGGCAACTTTTTAATCAAGCTTTTATTGTCCAATTTTAGTTGAACCTGTGCGAATTAGGCATCAGCAAGGCATTTGTGCCTTCCGCTCACTGGATATTTTATATTTTTCAGACCATTTTCTGTAAACCCTAGAGATGGTTTTGCGTGAAAATCCCAGTAGATCAGCAGTTTCTGTCTGACACCAACAAACATGCCATGTTCAAAGTCACTTAAATCACCTGTGTTCCTCATAATGATGCTGGGTTTGAATTGCAACAGATCGTCTTGACAATGTCTACATGCATAAATGCGTTGAATTGGTGCCATGTGATTGGCTGTGATTGGCAAGCAGTTGGACGTGTACCTATTAAAGTGGCCAGTGAGTGTATATGTTTGTTTTGTAGTTTAAAGGATTTTTTTTGCTTTGTAAGTGAGGTAAAGGTTGTAGTCGGTTTTAAATAGCTGCCTTCCATCTGAAGTAAGGATGACAGCAAATTGCCTCTCATCAATCAGTATACGATAGCAGAACTGAGGCTGCATGTGGAGGTCAGCAATTGAGTTGCCTGAAAATGTCAAATCCCTTTTATTTCCTGTCCTTATTGTATTATTCTGTCAACGCAGAGTCCCTCAGCCAATAACTCCCATCTTCTGTCGTCTGCATGATTTGCATGTCAACTTTTAGCCCCTTATTTCAGTCTTTCTAAATGCTCTCTATTAATAATATCACACTGGTTCAGACATCAGATAAGTTCATTTGTTGTTGCCAAGGTAACTACAGCCTAAATGGAGCATGAGTAACTTGCATAGCTTGCATAAAGTCTGATATCTGATTTGTCGCTCTGTCGGTTTACAGTGTGCAAGTCTAACTTGAAGTTGTTCAGAATTAAACTGGAAAGGGTATAATTAGGTAATTTGGTATCAGTAGACTATTGTCATTGAAGCTTTCTGTGAAACCACATTATGCGTTTTGGCTATTTTGTTTGCTGTGTTGGATGACTCTCTGTTGACTTATTTAAATGGCTGAATTGATGTGAGCTTTTGATTTGATGCTAACACTTTAGAAAAATGGTCCATTAGTTAATGTGTTTGCTAACGTTCGCTAAGTATGAGTACCTGACAAAAGTCTTGTTGTTAATCTCAGGTGTAAGAGCAACAAATAATTACTTGACCATTCTTCTAGTTCAGGGGTCACCAATCTCGATCCTGGAGGGCCGGTGTCCCTGCAGGGTTTAGCTCCAACTTGCCTCAACACACCTGCCTGGATGTTTCAAGTATACCTAGTAAGACCTTGATTAACTTGTTTAGGTGTGTTTGATTAGGATTGGAGCTAAAATCTGCTGGACATCAGCCCTCCAGGAACAAGTTTGGTGACCACTGTTCTAGTTGATTATTTGGAAAAGCGGCACAAAGTAGATTTTTCTGATAAATAATCTCATCTGTTGAACTGCATCCCAATCATCACAAATACTGCAGAAGACCTATTGGAACTGGCATGAACCCTAGATTTTTACAGAAATCGGTAAAGTTTGCAGAAGGAAAAAATCATGATTTGGTGTTACATTCAGTATGGGGGCATGCAAGAGATCTGCAGAGTGGATGGCAACATCAACAGCCTGAGGTATCAAGACTTTTGTTCTGCCCATTACATTACAAACCACAGGAGAGGGCATATTCTTCAGCAGGATAGCGCTCCCCATACTTCAGCTTCCACAACAAAGTTTTTAAAAGCAAAAAAGGTCAAGGTGCTTCAGGATTGGCCTGCCCAGTCACCAGACATGAACACTGAGCATGTGTGGGGTAAGATAAAGGAGGAGGCATTGAAGATGAAAACATATAATCTTGATTAACTCTGTTAATTAACTGTTGATTAACATATAATCTTGATTAAGTCCTGCAAGAATGCTTCCTTTGCCACTCCCGATGACCATCAATAAGTTATTTGAGTCATTGCAGAAATATATGGATTAGGGCTGCAACTAACAATTATTTTAATACTTGATTAATCTGACAATTATTTTTTAGATTAATTGATGAATCTGATATAAAAAAAAAACAAAAAAAGCATTAATTTCCAACCGTTCTTTCAAAAACAACTACAATCTTTAGAAATTGCACAAACATGTTGCTCTTTGAACATCCCTGAGCTGTTATAATAATAATAATAAAATAATAAGTAGTTCTATTTCCTATCATCCAGACCGCCAGAGGCAGTGCTGAAAGCAGTAGTGGAAAACCCCTCATGCTCGCGCTTGACCGAGAATCGAATAACTAGTTGTCACCTCATGACTTGGCACGTGCCCTGAGCTATAATAACCCTTCAGCACGTCACTTCTATCTCTTTGATCATTCTCGCAATGCCGAGTGACCAGAGACTCTGGCGGTCTTTCACTTAGTCATAGAACCACAGTTACGTCAGTAACCAGCGTTCTATATCCTATCGCTCCAGACCGCCAGAGACAGTGCTGAAAGCACTAGTGGAAGACGAATACCTACGCAGTCACGAGAAATCCTTTTCTGAAGCTTTAAGGCAGGCAGACAACACTGCAGCACACACTGCTGGCAAAG